TTTAGTGGGAACACCTTGACTTAATAAAACTGTACTTCAGTATTTATCACCTTTTATTATTTTAGGTTCTCTACCTTCAGGTTAAAAATATGTGAGGGCAATGGGGATGTCTGTTTTGTTCACATTGTTCCCCAGAACAAAATACAGTTGATGCTTGTGCTGACCACACTTCCATGCAGTCAAAAATCCCTGTATAACTTTAGAGTTGGTCCTCCCGTATGTATCCTCAGTTCTGTATACATGGATTCAACCAACCTCAGATGGTGTAATGCTGTAGTATGGATTCATTGAAAGAAATCTGCATGTAAGTAGACCTTCACTGTTCAAATCTATGTTATTCAAGGGTCAACTGTATGTAGAAGGTGCTCAGAATATTTTTGAATGAGTAAATGAAATCCATGATGATACACATGGGATACAAAATTAACATCACTAGCTCTGTATGCCTGGCATAAAAATGTGGAACAAAGTGAAATTTTAGACAGCTAATAACTTCAGGCCAGGTTTTGTTTGTTTGTTCATTTGTTTTGGCTTCTCAAACATTCCTTTTTTCCAAAATTCAGCCATAACATTGAATGTAATAGGAAAGGGAGGACAAGAGATAGGATAAAAGATACACATCTGTAAGTACCTGCCAATAACACGTAAACAAGTGTGTGTGTGTGTGTGTGTGTGTGTGTGTGCAGATGCCAATCACCACAGCCTCCAGACTTAGCAGATAATTTTCTACTTTTGGTGCCTAGAAGGGAGAGAAAAACTGAAGTATAAATTATGTGCTGGAAAAATAAATCAGCAGCTGTGTGCCCTTGTCTTCTGCTCTAATGCCTAGCTCTGAAACACCAGGCTGCTCTCAGTGAATGGTGGAAAGGTAAATGGAAACCTGATGTTCAAAGGTGACACTTAGACTATAAATTAAACTGTTGCTGTGAAAGAGAGAAAAGAAAACTAAATCGCCCCTGGTGTAAAAGCCTATAAGAAGAAGAGGGTAGAATCAGTGCTAGGTCTGGGAAAAATCCTTCTCACATAAATTCTCATGGACATGGAGAAGTGAATTCTGAGGATATGCATCCTGAGCCAGGTCTAAGTTATACTCTGGTTGTGCTAATCAAGCAATGAAGCTGCTATTGCTGCCACCATTCATGGGAGTGGTGTTTGCCATGCTTTATCATCTAACTAGAAATTCAAATACCATGGCACAGACATCCTCATAATGTTCACATTTGAATCAAGGATTTGATTGGATTGACATGCTTGGCATAGCCTAGGTCACATGCCTGTAACTGTTGCAAAGGAGGCCGGGAAAGTGAGTCGTTGCTTTTACCTCAATCATGGAAAGTAGGACTTAATAAATACAGGTCGTCACGAACTTAACAATTGTCCACTATGTTACTTTTTCCTGTCTTTCACTAAATGTTGTTTCATGGAAGATTAAGCTGTCTATTATTTATATCTGAGTACTAATTTAAATTTGGACCAGATTTTGCAATTACGTATTCACTCAAATCAATTAAGAAACAGCACCTAATCTTCAAGGTAAACCTCTTTACTTATTTGATTACTCTTTAAAAAAAACAACCAGCTAGCAAAATAAGAATGGCTTTTGGGGCTTCCCTGGTGGTACAGTGGTTGAGAGTCCACCTGCCGATGCAGAGGACACGGGTTCGTGCCCCGGACCAGGAAGATCCCACATGCCGCAGAGCAGCTGGGCCCGTGAGCCATGGCCGCTGAGCCTGCGCGTCCGGAGCCTGTGCTCCACAACGGGAAACCCCACAGCAGTGAGAGGCCCGCGTACCGCAAAAGAAAAAAAAAAAAAAAAAAGAATGGCTTTTGGGATTTACAAGGCCTAGATTATTCTCCCAATCACCTCCTACAGGTTTGTGAGTTTTGTAAAGTTTAATACTTATTTATTTTTTTCATGTTTAAATTGTCCATATTGATATATATGCAGTATGTTATGTAACTGAAATGAGCTAGCACATCTGAAAGAATCAAACAGAGTGCAAAAGGTAAACTGAATTTATTGACCACTTACGTGACTGTCAGAATGCTAGAAAATGCATATACAAAGATGAATAAGGCATGCTCCATACTTTCAAATAACTGAGACTAAGAAAAATAATTAGAATGGAATGGCTAAAATGCTTTAATAGAGCTATGTGCAGTGTTATAGAAGTATAGGAGAAGGCATAAAGTTTCTCAGTGAACAAATACAGGAAATCTTCATAGGGAAGTGTGATGGTTAATTTTGTGTGACAGATTGAGCTATGAGGTGCCCAGACATTTGGTCGAATATTATTTTGGGTATATCTGTGAAGGTGTTTCTGGATGAGATTAACACTTGAATCAGTAGAGTGAGTAAAGAAGACTGCCCTTTTTAATGTGGGTAGTCCTAATCCACTCAATTGATAACCTGAGTAGAATATAAAAGCTAGGTAAGAGAAAACTTTGCCTGCGTGACTGATTGATCTGGGATGTTGGTCTTCTCCTGCCCTTGGACTGTAAATTACACCATCAACTATCCTGGATCTCCAGTTTGCCAACTGCGGATCTTGGAATTTCTCAGTCTCCATAATTGTGTGATCCTATTCCTTAGAATAAATACAGCTCATATATTTCTGTTGGACAGTACTGCTATCAGCCCTGGATCGGTAGCATGGGCATGACCTGGTATTTAATAGAAATATAGAATCAGAATCCCAGGCTGAGACCTACTGACACAGATTGTGCACTTTAACAAGATCCCCAGGAGATTTGTATGTATAGAAAAGTTTATGAACCACTACTTTAGCCCATTGCTCTAGAAATACCTCCACTTCTTCCTCCATCTGTAGAGGAAGTTTCATTCCTGCAGCCCTTATTCCTAGAGAGCTGACATATTAGGGATTATCTGACTTCACAAAAGGAAAGCCTAGTGTTCTGAATAACATGTTTCTGTAAGGCAAATTCATCTTTGGTATACACATAACGTTCAGTTATTAAAATGTCATACTCAGCAAACTTGGAGCACAGAATAACTTCATTTTGTTATCAGTTTTGAGAAGGAGGAAGAATGAACTGTTTCTTCATATGCATACATTGTTTTTCATCAGGCTACGGTTAAAACCTGGGGTCTTTTCTGGACCTTGGATGCCCTCATGCCTCCTGGAACTCTTGCTCACCCTGTACTCTCCCAGTCTCTGTATCCATAGCTGTTAGCAGTGTTTTCCCTCCCCTTCCATTATGTTATCATCCCTGCTGATCATCCCCTCAAGCCCTGCTTTCTGCTTTCTCTCAGTTAATTCTGTGCAAAAGTAATTGCAGAGTAAGGTGTTTGTGCTTGATAATAGCTTAATATTTTACCTCTCGTATAGTTTTATTGCATTTAAATAGTGATTTCTTGGAAATTACATGGCTTATCTTAACTAGGGAGAATGAAGCAGAGCACCATGCCAGGCCAATGAGAAAAGGTATTTTGATATTATTCTGTTTTCCATATCCATAACCCATATTCATCAACATTGTAAAGATTTATACAATACAAAGATGATTTAGAAATTGTCATTATGTGAAATAAAATTGATCTAGACTAGAGGAAGAAAGAGAAAATCATTTGAAAAAATTCAGTCATAGTTTAACTTTATGCAAATATTTTTACCAGAAAAATATGAAAAAATAGAGAACTGGAACTGGGTATTTTCTCCTTTTTTTTACATTTGAGTAATTTAAAACATTTCCTTTTTAATATGTTTTTTAGTAAAGTACAACATAGATACAGAAAATTATACAAAACAATAATTAATCACAAAGTAAATATGCAGATAATCTCTTGCAAGGTTAAGAAAGCATTTTCCAATAAATATAGCTTAGTTTGGATGTTTATTTTTGAATTTTATTTAAATGGAAATATGCAATGTCTGTTCTTTTATATCTAGCTTCTTTTACTCAAAATTATATTGCAAAAATTCAACTATGCTGTAGAGTGCTACAGTTTTCTACATTTCATAGCAAAACTAATGCACTGTATACATGTACTTGAGTTTATCTGTATCATTTGTAGCTCATACTGATGAACTCTGCGTTGTTTCTAGTTTAGGGACAGTATGAACAATGCTGACATAAATATTTTCATTCCTGCCTTTCCTGCACATGTGTAACTGTACATGTGCATATATTTCTTTTTTTTAACATTTGTATTGGAATATAATTGCTTTACATTGTTGTGTTAGTTACTGCTGTATAACAAAGAGAATCAGCTATACGTATACCTATAACCCCATATCCCCTCCCTGTTGTGTCTCCCTCCCACTCTCCCTATCCCTCTCCTCTAGGTGGTCACAAATGTGAATATATTTCTGATGAGTAAAATTGCTTATAACAAACTGCCAAAAATTTGGTAAAAATAATAACACTTATTTGTCCCTCACACACCTGTAGATTATTTGGAATGTCTTCCCTTCAGACTGGTATTTATCTTGCTTCTGAAAGCAGTGGGCGTCTCAGGAAATATTCTTATCATGGTTATGGAAGAATCAAAGGAGCACAAGCCCCACTGCACATGAATATTCCATACCCCGGTTCATGTCATATGCATTAGCATTCCATTGCCCTAAGTAAGTCACATGGTCAAGCTTAAAGTCATAGAATGGGGACATACACTCCACCCTGTATAAGGCCATGGCAAGAGTGTAGATATACAATATTAGTACAGAGAAAAACTAAGACCAATAATTCAATTCAACACATAGGTTATACGTATCATAAGCTTTAGTAGACAGCCCCAAACTAGTTTTCTAAACTGGTTACACCATTTTACACTCCACCTGTAATATATAAAACTTCTCCATACTCCAAAAGTTCACCACTATTTGATGTTGTCAGTCTTTTAAATTTGTCAATTTGTTACGAAAGCATTTGCATTATACTATAGTTTTAATTTACTTTTACTGATTATTAATAATGTTGTGCAGCTTTAAATTTATTTATCAGCCATTTGAATGACCTCTTCATACAACCTCAATCTCTTGTTCTCACTTAATCAACACACATACTAAAATTGAACATTACAGAGATTAGCATGGCCCCTGTATAAGATGTTATGCATATTTTTAAAGCACTGCATATTTTTTATCACATTACCTCCTCAATTCCTGGTGCCACTATCACTGCCTCCTAATGCCAAGGAAAGAAAGAGAAGGAAAGGAAAGGGAAGAGAAGGGAAACTACATCATACTTTTTCTGATACTGCTGCCTCCACCTGGGATTTCTTTCCTTCCTTACCCTTCTCCAGTTCTCTCAGTGAGATGACTGTTAAGGTAGCTGAAGGTTTGTTACATATTCTTCAATCTCCAGCTATAACTAAAGTTTGTTATACCTCCTTTGTACAGTCATTTAAGAACAAGGGCCATATCTTACTAAACTTTATACCCCTACTATGTAGTATTATTTTAAATATATATTAGAAACTAAATAAAGATTTTATAAATGGGTAATAAGTAAATGAAAGTTTTTCTACAGTAGCATGCTTTTCACAAGCTGTGTGAAGTTGGGCAAATGACATAACGTTTCTGATCTTTAATTTCTCAACTGTAAATGGAAGTGAGAATAATTTTTTCATAGGCTTATTATGAGAATTGTAACATAATTAATGTAAAAATATGTGTTTTTACCATGCCAGTACAGTTTCAATGCTCAATAAATTATAATAATGAATGTTAATACTTAAAAAAAAAACACTCAGTCTCTCTTTTTTTTTTTAATCTTTATTGGAGTATAATTGCTTTACAATGGTGTGTTAGTTTCCACTTTATAACAAAGTGAATCAGTTATACATATACATATGTTCCCATATCTCTTCCCTCTTGTGTCACCCTCCCTCCCACCCTCCCTATCCCACCCCTCTAGGTGGTCACAAAACACCGAGCTGATCTCCCTGTGCTATGCGGCTGCTTGTCACTAGCTATCTATTTTATGTTTGGTAGTGTATATATGTCCATGCCACTCTCTCACTTTGTCACAGCTTACCCTTCACCCTCCCCATATCCTCAAGACCGTTCTCTAGTAGGTCTGTGTCTTTATTCCTGTCTTACCCCTAGGTTCTTCATGACATTTTTTTCTCTTAAATTACATATATAGGTGTTAGCATACGGTATTTGTCTTTCTCTTTCTGATTTACTTCACTCTGTATGACAGACTCAAGGTTCATCCAACTCATTAAAAATAGCTCAATTTTGTTTATTTTTATGGCTGAGTAATATTCCATTGTATATATGTGCCATATCTTTATCCATTCATCCGATGATGGACACTTAGGTTGTTTCCATCTCCTGGCTATTGTAAATAGAGCTGCAATGAATATTTTGGTACATGACTCTTTTTGAATTATGGTTTTCTCTGGGTATATGCCCAGAAGTGGGATTGCTGGGTCATACGGTAGTTCTACTTGTAGTTTTTGAAGGAACTTCCATACTGTTCTCCATAGTGGCTGTACCAATTCACATTCCCACCAGCAGTGCAAGAGTGTTCCCTTTTCTCCACACCCTCACCAGCATTTATTGTTTCTAGATTTTTTAATGATGGCCATTCTGACTGGTGTGAGATGATGTCTCATTGTAGTTTTGATTTGCATCTCTCTAATGATAATGATGTTGAGCATTCTTTCACGTGTTTGTTGGCAGTCTGTATATCTTCTTTGGAGAAATGTCTATTTAGGTCTTCTGCCCATTTCTGGATTGAGTTCTTTTTTTTTTTATTGAGCTGCATAAGCTGCTTGTAAATTTTGGAGATTAATCCTTTGTCAGTTGCTACATTTGCAAATATTTTCTCCCATTCTGAGGGTTGTCTTTTGGTCTTGTTTATGGTTTCCTTTGCTGTGCAAAAGCTTTGAAGTTACATTAGATCCCATTTGTTTATTTTTGTTTTTATTTCCATTTCTCTAGGAGGTGGGTCAAAAAGGATCTTGCTGTGCTTTATGGCATAGAATGTTCTGCCTATGTTTTCCTCTAAGAGTTTGATAGTTTCTGGCCTTACATTTAGGTCTTTAATCCATTTTGAGCTTATTTTTGTGTATGGTGTTAGGGAGTGATCTAATCTCACACTTTTACAGGTACCTGTCCAGTTTTCCCAGCACCGCTTATTGAAGAGGCTGTCCTTTCTCCACTGTACGTTCCTGCCTCCTTTATCAAAGATAAGGTGATGGTATGTGTGTGTGTTTCTCTCTGGGCTTTCTATCCTGTTCCATTGATCAGTATTTCTGTTTTTGTGCCAGTACCATACTGTCTTGATTACTGTAGATTTGTAGTATAGTCTGAAGCCAGGGAGCCTGATTACTCCATTTCTCATTCTCAAGATTGCTTTGGCTATTCAGGTTATTTTGTGTTTCCATACAAATTGTTAAATTTTTTGTTTTACTTCTGTGAAAAATGTCAGTGGTAGTTTGATAGGGATTGCATTGAATCTGTAGATTGCTTTGGGTAGTAGAGTCATTTTGACAATGTTGATTCTTCCAATCCAAGAACATGGTATATCTCTCCATCTATTTGTGTCATCTTTAATTTCTTTCATCAGTGTCTTATAATTTTCTGCATACAGGTCTATTGTCTCCTTAGGTAGGCTTATTCCTGGATATTTTATTCTTTTTGTTGCAATGTTAAATGGGAGTGTTTTCTTGATTTCACTTTCAGATTTTTCATCATTAGTGTATAGGAATGCCAGAAATTTCTGTGCATTAATTTTATATCCTGCTACTTTACCAAATTCATTGATTAGCTCTAGTAGTTTTCTGGTAACATCTTTAGTATTCTCTGTGTATAGTATCATCTCCTTTACAGTGATGGCTTTACTTCTTCTTTTCTGATTTGGATTCCTTTTATTTCCTTTTCTTCTCTGATTGCTGTGGCTAAAACTTCCAAAACTATGTTGGATAAGAGTGGTGAGAGTAGGCAACCTTGTCTTTTTCCTGATCTTAGTGGAAATGCTTTCAGTTTTAAACCATTGCGGACAATGTTGGCTGTGTGTTTGTCATATATGGCCTTTATTATGTTGAGGAAAGTTCCCTCTACGCCTACTTTCTGCAGGGTTTTTATTATAAATAGGTGTTGAATTTTGGCGAAAGCTTTCTCTGCATCTATTGACACGATCATATAGCTTTTCTCCTTCAATTTGTTAATATGGTTTATCACGTTGATTGACTTGCGTATATTGAAGAATCCTTGCATTCCTGGAATAAACCCCACTTGATCATGGTGTATGATCCTTTTAATGTGCTGTTGGATTCTGTTTGCCAGTATTTTGCTGAGAAATTTTGCAATTATGTTCATCAGTGATATTGGCCTGTAGTTTTCTTTCTTTGTCACATCCTTGTCTGATTTTGGTATCAGGGTGATGGTGGCCTCGTAGAATGAGTTTGGGAGTGTTCCTCCCTCTGCTTTAATTTGGAAGAGTTTGAGAAGGATAGGTGTTAGCTCTTCTCTAAATGTTTGCTAGAATTCACCTGTGAAGCCATCTGGCCTTGGGCTTTTGTTTGTTGGAAGATTTTTAATCACAGTTTCAATTTCAGTGCTTGTGATTTGTCTGTTCATATTTTCTATTTCTTCCTGATTCAGTCTTAGCAGGTTGTGCATTTCTAACAATTTGTCCATTTCCTCCAGGTTGTCCATTTTATTGGCATAGAGTTGCTTGTAGTAATCTCTCATGATCTTTTGTATTTCTGCAGTGTCAGTTGTTACTTCTCCTTTTTCATTTCCAATTCTATTGATTTGAGTCTTCTCCCTTTTTTTCTTGATGAGTCTGGCTAATCGTTTATCAATTTTGTTTATCTTCTCAAAGAACAAGCTTTTACTTTTATTGATCTTTGCTATCATTTCCTTCATTTCTCTTTCATTTATTCCTGATCTGATCTTTATGATTTCTTTGCTTCTGCTAACTTTCAGGGTTTTTTGTTGTTCTTTCTCTAACTGCTTTAGGTGCAAGGTTAGGTTGTTATTTCGAGATGTTTCCTGTTTCTTAAGGTAGGATTGTATTGCTATAAAACTCCCTCTTAGAACTGCTTTTTCTGCATTCCATAGGTCTTCGTGTCTCCATTGTCATTTGTTTCTAGGTAATTTTGACTTCCTCTTTGATTTCTTCAGTGATCATTTCGTTATTAAGTAGTGTATTGTTTAGTCTCCATGTGTTTGTATCTCTTACAGATCCTTTCCTGTAATTGATTTCAAGTCTCATAGAGTTGTGATCAGAAAAGATACTTGAAACAATTTCAATTTTCTTAAATATACCAAGGCTTGATTTGTGACCCAAGATATGACCTATCCCAGATAATGATACATGAGCACTTGAGAAAAATGTGTATTCTGTTGTTTTTGGATGGGATGTCCTATAAATATCAATTAAGTCCATCTTGCTTAATGTATAATTTAAAGCTTGTGTTTCCTTATTTATTTTCATTTTGGATGATCTGTCCATTAGTGAAAGTGGGGTGTTAAAGTCCCCTACTATGAATGTGTTACTGTCAATTTCCCCTTTTGTGGCTCTTAGTATTTGCCTTATGTATTGAGGTGCTCCTATGTTGGGTGCATAAATACTTACAATTGTTATATCTTCTTCTTGGTTCAATCTCTTGATCATTAGGTAGTGTCCTTCTTTGCTTCCTCTAACAGTCTTTATTTTAGAGTCTATTTTTTCTGATATGAGAATTGCTACTCCAGCTTTCTTTTGGTTCCCATTTGCATTGAATATCTTTTTCCATACCCTCACTTTCAGTCTATATGTGTCTCTAGGTCTGAAGTTGGTCTCTTGTAGACAGCATGTATATGGGTCTTGTTTTTGTATCCATTCAGTCTGTTGGTGGGAGCATTTATTCCATTTACATTTAAGGTAATTATCGATAGGTATTTTCCTGTTCCCATTTTCTTAATTGTTTTGGGTTTGTTATTGTAGGTGTTTTTCTTCTCTTTTGTTTCTTGCCTAGAGAAGATCCTTTAACATTTGTTGTAAAGCTGGTTTTGTGGTGCTGAACTCTCTCAGCTTTTGCTTGTCTGTAAAGTTTTTAATTTCTCCATCAAATGTGAATGAGGTCCTTCTGGGTAGAGTAATCCTAGTTGTAGGTTTTTCTCCTTCATCACTTTAAATATG